CCAGCAGCATCCATACTTGCTGATGTCCCTGTGTGATGTCCCAGGCTCCCCATGATTCAGAGTGAGTGGGAGAGAGGAAGAATGGGGAGGATCAGAAACAGACGGAAGGAGGGAAAGAGGGTGGGGAGAAGGAAAAGAGGATTGAGGGAGAGCCAGAAAGCAAAGAAGGGGAGAGAAGTGGGGGAGCATGAGGGAGCTTTGTCTGTTTTCTTCTTTCTCAGAAGCATAGAGGAGAGGCCAGATGGGGCAGACTGGTCATAGCAACAATGTCCCCTCCCAGGTGTCCTTTGGCTGGGGAGGGACATGTAAATGCAGCCTGGCTACTGCCTCCCCCAGTCCCAGCTGGAATTGACCAGCCTGCCAGTCACCTGCCAGAGCTATTTCTGGAATGTGGAATCTGGGTCAGAAAGGGGGAGGGAGGCGTGGCAGTGGCAGCCCTGGAGCTGGGAAGTTGTCAGCTCTGGGTGGTGGGTGGGCAGCTCCGTGTCCTGCCACAGCCACTCAAGAGAGGCCAGCCCCTGCCAGTCTCCCACTGCTTCCATATCCGCCCTTCTCCACATCTCCCCACCTGCCTTGTGCATGCGTGCCCATGGGAGAGGAACAAAGAGTTTTGATGGCCCTCAGCAACAGGGGGCTCAGAACAGACCTGGGTGGGGGAGCTCTGAGGACGCACTCCTTGGAGACAGATATTGCAGAGGAGGATCCTCTGAGCAGGGATGACCCTGCCCCGGGACAGTGGCTAAGTGAGGGTGCACCTGTGTGTGTTGGTACGTCTGCATGGAGGCTGGTGATTACGGCAGGACAGCCATGTAGGGTTGTACATGTTTTGCACTGATTAAGGGAGGGATGCCACAAAAGGCGGGGGGAGTTCTATTCACAATATAGACATAATTGAATTACATAATTACTATGATCAATTTCTGGCAGATGGAAGTAAAGGACCTTATTCTAGTAGAAGCTGTACATCATGACAACTTTTTAGCAAATGGCAGTGAAGTGTCAAGGAGGAGTGCCCCTTAACACCAGGCTGCCTCATGGACCAGCTGCAGTCACAAACTTGCATGTGCCACCTTAGGTTTTCCGTGTGTGGCAGGGGAGTTACTTTCTGAGCATGAGGGCAAGAAGAGCAGGGGTGTGGTACTCACTGTGGACACATGCAGTGAGGGCTGACGGGGTGATATTTTTTTTTTTTGGCTGTACTGGGAATTGAACTTAGGGCTTCCTACTTGAGCCACACCCCCATCTTCTATTTTTAGTGTGTTTTTGAGATAGGGTCTTGCAATTTTGCCCAGGCTGGCCTCTGACCAAGATTCTCCTACTTCTGCCTCCTGAGTAGCTGGGATCACAGGTATGTATTACCTCACCTGGCTTGTTTTTTGTTATTGTTTGTTTGAGATAGGGTCAGGTTAGTTTTTGCCAGGGTTGGTCTTAAACAGTGATCTTCCTAATTCTGCCTCCCACCTGGGATTACAGAGGTGCACCACCACACGCCCCACCTTGTGGTGATGAATTCTTTTGGTGCTCCCAATCTAGTAAGACATGCTTCCCTTACAGATGTGGAAGGGGCCTGAGCCTTGATGGGGACATACAGGTTCATGAGCGTATGTGCAGGTGTGTTAGTTGATCTAATGTGTGCATATGAGAATGTCATATCTATTTCATTCCATACACAGGTCTAGGAGTACAGACTTTCTACATGTCTGTAAGTAGATATGTATGTGCATACATGTCTGGGCAGGTGTGATACCTTCTTGACTATCTTGGCTTGGGCTGAAGCCTGCAAACTAGGACTAACTGGAGACCCTCTCATCTACATTTAATGCCAAGTCATCTGCACAGGATGCGCTGGGCAGGGCGGGGTGTGTGTGTGTGTGTGTGTGTGTGTGTGTGTGTGTGTATGTGTGATGACTGACTGAATTGTTGGTCTCAATTCTCAACCCCTCTTTGTATTCAGAGTCTTCATAGCCATAGTATCTCCCACAAAAGATGTAATGTGTTTTGCTGGACCCTGGCCTTGGACTCATGTGCTTTGCTTTGATCAACTAGATTTTAGCTGATATGACATAAAGAGAAATTTGAGCCAGGTGCCGGGTGGCTCATGCCTGTAATCCTAGCTACTCAGGAGGTAGAGATTAGGAGGATCATGGTTCAAAGCCAGCCCCGGGCAAATAGTTCTCAAGACTCTATCTCGAAAAAAACTATCACCAAAAAAAAAAAAAAGGCTGGTAGAGTGGCTCAAGGTGTAGGCCCTGAGTTCAAATCCCAGTACCGCAAAAAAAAAAAAAAAAAGAGAAAGAAACTTGAAATGTGCTTGCACAATGAAGCCTCCCTGGTCTACTTCTGCCACCACCATGGGAAGAACATGTTCTGGCTAGGCCAATGAATCCAGAGCACACTTTGATCCTAGGATGTAGGGCACATGGAACAGAACCAGCTGACCTGCAGACTCATGAAAATGAATGCTTATTATTGTGTGACACTGTGTTTGATACACAGCATTATTGTGATGATAGCTGACTGATACACATTGGTACCAAAAGTGGAGTGTGATTGAAATAAAAACTGAATCTACGGAGCACTGGTTCTAGGACCAAATGGTGAGTAAACAGTGAGTCAACAGTTATAGGAGGCTTGAAAAAAGAGGCCCAGGATTATGTGTGGGTCAGAACTCTTGGTAAAACTCTCATCTATAGTAAGTTGAGGAGAACAGATGCATTTGGGCAAGATAGATTCCAGGCAAAATGCTGAAAGCAAGAGCTAGCTTCTTTTGGCTGCATTTGATAAGGACTTACAAGAAAGAGAGAATCTCATAAAAGAAATAGCCAATCTGTAGGGAGCATTTAGAGGAAATCAAAAGAGCCCAGAAATCACTGAGTTGGAAAATAAATCTGTCTACTCCAATCTCCCCAGCCAGTAGATGATTCTCAAATTAAGGTACAGCCTAGAGACAAAGATCAAACCAAGGTCATAGCTGGTTAAAACACAGCATGGAAACCAGATTAGCTCTAGTCTTTTTATTAACACTCTAAGATGCCATCTAGTAGATCTCAGCTGATCAAAAGAGCTGGCAGAAAGCGTAAGGATATGGGTCCAGAGAAGCCTAATGTGCTCAAAGTGGCATAATTAAGTCATGACAGTGGCACAGTTGAGCCCTGGTGGCTCAGGCCTATAATCCTAGCTACTTGGGAGGCTGAGATTGAGAGGATCAGGGTTCAAGGCCAGCTTGAGCAAATAGTTTGCAAAACCCCCATCTCCAAAATAACCAGAATAAAATGCACTGGAGGTGTGGATCAAGCAGTAGAACACCTGTTTTACAAGGGCATAACCCTGAGTTCAAACCCCAGTCCCACCAAAAAGAAAGAGAGAGAGAGAGAGAGAGACAGAGAAATGACTTAAAAAATTAATATAATTGTGTGTGTGGCTTTGGCATATGGAATTACGTGGAATCAAATACATAGAAAACCCATAAAGTGTTTGAGGCAGGTGCATGGGTAACACTGATCACCTTAGGCCAAGAAGTAAGCTCATTCAGGATGTAAAAATACATCTCTCTCTCTTTCTTCAGGAACCAGGCTAAGGAAGGTAGTCAGCTGTCCAATGGTCATATTCTCCAGGATAGGAGATATTCCAGAAGCCAGGTGCAGTAGCTCAAGCCTGTAATCATAGCTACTCAGGAGGCAGAGATCAGGAGGATCATGGTTCAAAGCTAGCCAAGGCAAAATGTTCCCAAGATCCCATCTCAACCAATGGCTGGGCACTGGCCTGAGCCTTTATCCTAGCTACACGGGCAGCACAAATAGGAGGATTGCAGTCCACATTGGACTTGCACTTGGCAGGCAGGCACTGTACCAACTTAGTCATCCCCCAGTCCAGATCAGGAGATCCTGATGCCATGTTTGGATGAAACTTTGGAGAGTCTTGGGCTTAGTATTTTCTACATGGGGGGGGGCATAAATAAATGGCCAAGAGGATGGAGTACAGCATATTGAACTATTGGCCTCTATCTAAAACCTTTGCCATATGAATTCAGTTTCTTTCACAAAAGGTGAGTGGGTACTTCATCCCTTGACTTTGAGCTCAGTCATGTGACTTTCTTTAGCCAAAAGGATGTTAGCAGAATGTTTTTGTATAGTTGAACAAGGTCTCGTATAGGCCTTGAATGTTCTTGTGTAGTTAGGCTTAGTCTATGATCCCAGGAGGACCCTCTGGTCCCACGAGGAGGATGAGAGACAGTGGTGCAGAGCTGTTCTAACTGACAAACTTGGGAGTAAGAAAGTGTGGCTGAAGTTTTTGCCCAGTGTGGCCACAGACCGTAACCCTCCTATCTAAGGCCTCCCCAGTAGCTGGGAAGACAGGTGCATACTACCACACCCAAAATGGGGTCTTGCCAACTTTTTTGCCCAGGCTGGCCTCAAACTGAGATCCTCTCAATCTCTGAATAACTGGGATTACAGCTGTGAGCCACCACACCAGGTCTGTGCTGTTTTGCCTTGGCTGTGGCTTTCTATTATTGTGCTTGCTCAGTCACATGAGCCTCTGCTTCCTATGATCACACATGGGTTATCTCCAGAGGAGTTGGAATAGCATCAGGACGGGTAGACTGTCTCTGATTGTGAACATGAGAGAACCCTGCTAACTGCCTTTGGGAAGGCTGGAGGCCGATCTCACCCTCTCTCTACAACTCTGCCCACCCTGTAGGTTCCAGTTTCCCTACAGGTCTGCCCATTAGCAGGTAGCGCCTCTAAGCCAGGAAGCAACCAAGGATCCCATAGGCTCCAGCCTTCTCCCAAACCCGCCCACCAACAGTCTGCTCCTGCCACTCGGTTTCCGTTCCAGTTCGCCAACCGGTGGGAAGTACAGCCCTAAAACCTCCGTTCTTCCAGCTCTCTGTGCATTACTTCCCAGCATTCCCCCAGGCTGGCCCACCAGATATGGTTCCCAAAGTCTCCTTGCAAACAAAACAAACAAAAAAATCAACCCTTCCCCATGGCCATACTCACTTGGAAGCGTCCGACTGTTGTTGAGACTGCCTGTGCTGGGCGGTGGGGAGAGGGACTGCAGGGAGACACTGTCCTCCTCCTGCGAGCAGCCTGCCTGGATTGCACGCAGGTAGCTGTGGCTGCGGGAGCGGAAGTAGCTGGGCAGCGGTAAGTCCAGCGCCTCCGCCGCCGCAGACTCCGCTTCGCTGCAGGCTGACTCGCAGGCCGCCTCGTACTGGTCGCTCAGATCTGCCTCCCGTACCTGTCCAGGCAAGGGCGGGCGTCAGGAGCCTGCTTTGCCCATCCTTGGGGAAGGGGTGCTTGGTGGTCGGCTCAGCTGTGGAGCCGGAAAGTTTGCGGGCCTCCCCTCCCGTCTCTCAGGGCATTGATGGGCGGATGGAATGCGTAAGAAAAAAACAGCCCCTCTCACCTCTCTGGGTCTCAATTTTCCCATCTCTACAATGAGAAGAAAGTAGGAATACTGCAAGATGTTAACCAGACGATATCTTGTGTGTCCACAGTGATCACTGATAGAGTTTAAGGTCACATCTGAGCTCAGCATGAAAGAATTCTATAATCGATTAGGCACGTCTGCCATGAACGTTGTTGGAATGGGGTTTGCGGTAGGGCGGATGGATATTTACAATCATAGGGTCCAATCCCTTCATTTTACAAGCCACCCCCTTCCCACCTCCCCACCCCAAAAATCCTGAGGACCAGTGAAGAGTGAGAGGAAGACACTTGTCAGAGGCACCCAGTGAAGAAGGGATAGAAGTATTTAAGGAAGATTACTCTATTCTCGGTGTAAAGAATGGATGCTGGGGCAAGGGTGAGGGTCTGGAATAGAGGCAGAGGCCAGAGATGAAGTTCAAGCAAGGCCTAGTAAGAGAAGGTAAGACTGGGGTGGGGATGGTAGCACCAAGGATTGTTTAGTGATGTCTGCAGGGCCAGTGCGGAGAATGGTGATATATAGACTATCTGCCCTCTCACATTTAGTTCAGTTTTGTCCACATAGTACCTAAGTATGCCTCCATAGATGACTGTCTGGGATCCTGCAAATGTGAAGCTGGAGGTGTGAGCAGAGGGGCATCTCCACACACCATACACCCTAAGTGTTCTAGAAGGGCTGTCTGACCTGTCTGAGGCTATGCTGGTAACTGGGGACCACAAAGTATAAGCCGAGGAGTCAGCTGGCCAAAGAGGGACACTAGGTGGAGGCCTGAGCAGAGGCCAGAACTAGAGGAGGGAGCACAAGCTGACTGAGCATCATGTGGAGGAAAAGATAGATTTGGCATGGGAACAGCTGTGAACCTGCTGTGTGATCTCAGGTCATCATGTGCTCTCTGGGCCAGACCTTCTTCATCTGGATGAGAGGAGCTGCCTGGGTATCCATGTATGCATGCATTTTGTAAACTACTGGATGGATCCTCACCCATTATGGAGGGCACTGGGAAAGGCTTAAATCTCTACTACCCAATATGGTCACTACGCCTGAGCAGTTGTTTAGGTTTAAGTTCATTAGAATTGAATAAAGTTTGCGAGTCACATTAGCTACATTTTACTTGCTCAAAAGTCACATGTGACTATGGCTACCATTGACAGGTGTGGACTGTAGAACACTTTTCATCACGCAGAAAGTGCTGCTGGACAGGGCTGATCAGTTAAACTACAGGCCACGTGGCATGCCCAAAGTTCACCTGGAGGTGGTATTAAAGCGAATGGTGTTTATCTTGCAAAGCTGTAAACCGAGGTACTTTGAGTGACCCTGTGACTGCCAAGGACAACCGGTTCTTGCTTTAGGAGTGTGCCACAACCATGTAGATCTGGAAGAAGACACCCAGGGTTTCAATCCCGGGTCTGTCATTTCCTTGTGATATGAACACAGGCAAGTTGTGTACTCACTCTGTGCCTCAGTTTTCCCATCTGTAAAAGAGACTAATCACAGTCTCAATTCAAGATATCAAGTGAGCTAACTCGCATCACATGCTCAGGGAAGAGTCTAGGAGAGTGAGAACCCGGTCACCCGTACCTGACAGTGTAGGCAGCTGCATGGAGTGAGCATGAAGATTTACAAGTATTGGTTAAAATAATCCCCCAATTTGGGGGGGGGGGGCAGGCAGCTAGCCAGTGCTGCTGCGTTTCATAGTACTTATTATGTGCGGGGTCCTGCCTGGGAGTTCATGTGTTGCACTTCACATGTTTACCACGCACCTGCTGAAGTTAGGGGAGGAAGGAGTTGCCCAGCCCACTGTGGGCTCCATGAAAGCTTTCTGGAATAATGTGTTTTGAAGGAATACAGGGTTCCTATGACATGGGGGAGAGGGAAACATAAGGCATCCACACCTGGAAGCAGGAGGCAGTTCAGTCCTAGCTTTGCCCCTGTGTAGCCTTAGGCAGGCCTCTTGCTACTCCTGGCTACGTTGAGGAGGTAAGCTCAGAACTTCTTCTGCCCCACTTTCTGGTCTTGGAGCTGGGGGGGAAGGGGCCACGCCCAGGGGCGGGATGGGTATTCATGGGAGGAGGCCCTTCAGGCAGCCAGACAATGCAAAGCACAGCACTACCTGCTCCAGTGCTGGAGCTTTTATAAAGTTGAAAAGTCTTCCCACCTTAAAGGTCCTTCTGGGGCTCTGGAAAGGGAAAAAGTTGGGGGACCTGGGGAATGGTGCCTGCCCCCTTACCTGTCCAAATAAAACAGGGCCTGGCCCAGGCTTTGGGGGAGGGGAGAAAGGGAGGAAGCCAGGAGACTTTTGGGGACTCCCCCATTGTCTGTGGTTATTTCTTGCCCCATCTATAGAACCTAACTCTTCATTTCCCATTACTTTTTTTTTTTTTTGGTGGGTCTAGGGTTTGAACTCATGGCCTTGCCCTTGCAAAACATGAGCTCTACCACTTGAGCCACACTTCCAGTTCATTTTGCTCTGGTTATTTTGGAGATGCCATCTCATGAACTATTTGCCTGGCCTGGCCTCAAACCTTGATCCTCCAGATCTCAGCATCCAAAGTAGCTAGGATTACAGGCATGAGCCACCAGCACCTGGCTCTTTTCCCATTTCTCAGAAGAGGAAATTGAGGCACAGAAGAGAAGTGAGAGAGGTGGGGAGTAGAGGATCAGGACGTCACTGTGATCCTCAGTTCCAGCCCCACTGGAGGTGGTCTTCTTAGTGGTGGTTCTGTTTGTGCTTCCCAGGCTGGGTGCCAGAACCACTCAGACGCAGGCCTAAGACCCAGCCCTCAATTCTGGATTGGGATGTAAGCATACTGACCTGCTGCTCATGGCCAAACAACTGGGGGATCAGGGAGGCCTGTCCAAACATCTGCAGGAAAGAGAGGGTGAGGATTATGGGGGAGCCAGGGCTGGGGGTGGGAGGCTGGGATGGGATACTCAGGCTTGGGTTCCAGGGAGCTTGAGGCTGGTTGGCTGGGGCCCTGCTGCTAAGAGGGCTCCTTAGGCTTCCTCAGGATGGGGGTTCACTCTTAGGGCTGGGCATTACTGAGGACTTACAATCTGCTGTTTACAAGTCTGTTGTCTAGACCTTGGGACCATGGGTGCTCAGTCTGCTGCCTCTCACCTGGGCAGGAAGCCCACCTGGAAATGTAGGTTAGGGATGGCACCCAGAGCCATCTCTTCCCCAGGCCTGGAAGTCAGATATCTGACTTTGGGGTCACATATACGGCTCAGGTAGTTCAACCTTCTGAGAATGAGGGCTGGTGGGGCAGTTAGAGGACCCTGGACTAGGAGACAGCTGGAGCTGGGCGGGGAGCGGTGGGTAAGACCTGCAGGGTTCCCCAATTCCATGAGCCTTTTTATGTAGTCAAAGGGCAAAGATGTTCCAGGTACCTGGCCAGATGGGCATGGAGATGGGGTGTGAGAAACACAGAACTATGGAAGTGGAGACACAGTTGAGAGAACTGGAAAAAAATGTGAATGAGGCAATAAGGCACAGAGAGAGAGAGAGAGACAGACAGACAGACACAAGCAGTCAGGAAGACAGAGGAGAAAACATGGTAGGATAAGAGAGACAGGGAGGGACACAGCCATTCGACAAACACTGAGCATCTGCCATTGTGCCAGGTGCTGAGGACACTGCAGGGAATAAGACAAGGTCCCTGCCTACTACAGGGAGATCCCAGTCTTATTTAATGATGACGTTAAATAAATAACCCCAGATAGTGGCAGGTTAAGCAAGGGACAGGGACAGTGTGAGGGGTGGGAGTGAGTTGCCACTATGGATAGAGTGATGGAGAAGGACTCTCTGAGAACTGACATTTGAGCCAAGACCTGAGACACAGGAGGCACCTGCTGTGCAGGAGTCTGAGAGCGGAGCACTCTAGGGAGAGAGAGTAGTGAGTGCAGTGAGACTAGGATGGACAAAATGTCACCTAGGTGTGTGAGGGGCAGGGGCCAGGGTGGATGCTCAGATGGAATTTGCTGGGGCCTGCATGAAGATGGCAGGGGCAGAGGGTCCCAAGGGCTGGGGTGCTTCACCCCTCCCCACATCTGAGGTCAGACTCTTGGGTGTCTCTAGGGCTGGGAGAATGGAATGTGAGCAGTCAGGTCTCCAGTCTCAGGCATACTAGGCAAGCACTCTACTACTGAGCTATGTGCCAAGACCTCTAAGTGATCCACTAGACCTGGCCACGGGCCTGTGCGCTATGGGACTAAGTCCTGTCCCTGCCTGGAGAGGAGGCTGGTCTACTGTGCTTCTCCCATGGGAGTCTGCCCTCTCTGGGCCTCATCTCCCCACCCACATCATGAAGGGAGCACAGGACTTGGCTGTCCTCTCTTTGCAAACCCTAAGGTACTGTGTCCACATCAGGGGATGAGTCTAACAGCCTTAGATCCCTGCTTGGCTTTCCCTCCTCCTAGGTGAGAACTCACCTCTCGGAGCCTCAGCTTTCTCATCTGGGAAATAGAGCTATAGATAATAAAGCAATCTCTGTGAGGATTCAAGGAGCTGAAGGTAAATGAGAAGAGCAGCACAGAACACTTGTCCCTGTTAGTGGCAGAGCTGGCTTGGCCCTGGAAGTCCAACTTTCCACTGAGCAGGTGAGTGCAGGGGCCCAGAGCAGAAAAGTAACTTGCCCAAGGTCACACAGCAAGATGATAATAATACCCATAAAGGTAGCTACTCTTTGCTGAGCACATTAAGTTCACGATCTTATTCTTTCCTTACCACACTCTGAAATAAGGACCATTACACTCCTGTGCTCAATCAGGAAACTGGGGCTCAGGGAAGGAAGGTGACTTGACTTGGGTCCCTACCATCAATGAAAAGACTGGGACTTGAACCCAGGTCTCTAGTTCCCTATCCCCGACTCTGAACCCAATGAGGAATGATAAGGCCTAGAACCCCTGCTGGCAGCCCAGGTCTACAGCAGTGGTGGGCAGTTCCTCGGGGGGGTCTCTGCTCAGAAGGCCTATGACAATGCTCTCCAGTCAACGACAATCAGTGGAGCAGAGAGACACACACAGGTGGCTTCAGGAACAAAGACTAAACAGTACAAACATCTGGGGACCCCCAAGCAGGGTGGGGCCTGGATGCCAGTCCTCTCCTGAGCCCACTGACCTTCCGGCTACCCTCACCTGGCTAATGCAGCTGGAGTCGTTGAGGCTGTCGCTGATGGGATTGTAGTCCTCTTCCCAGCTTGGGCACTTGGAAGGTAGCAGCATGTCCACTGAATCCAGGCGATCCAGACTCCTAGTGGAGAGGAGGGAGCAGACAGGGCTCAGTCCACCCATTGTTCACCCTGGGAAACTGAGGCCCAGAGAGAAAAGACTGGCCAAGATCATCCAGTGGGAGAGAAGGAAATGGAAACCACTGCCAGCCTGGGCCAGGATGGGGGTGATGAGAAAGAGGAGAGCACCAAACTTTTGTAGGCCTCCTCTGTGGTAAGCAGGCAGCCCTGTCCTGTCATGTCCACTGATACCACAAGGTGGCAGCACAAGCTTGCATTTTTACTGTTTTAAACAGACCAGTTCAGCCTAGCCCAGTTCTACATTCCCCCCTCCTCTACATTCCCCCCCACACACCACACACACACCACACACACTCCTCATTCATCCCTGAACAGACAGAACAGAGGAGGTGGGTCAAAGCCCATAGGCTTGACCTTTGGCTAGGGCTGCCAAGAGGGCCTCTGTTCCGTTTGAGGTCTAGGTGGCTTCTACCAGGTTCCCAAGGACTCATGATTTAACTCTATGTCCCCAGCTCTTCAATCTTTCTCACATCTACCTAACCCTGGGCCTTCTCAACCCTTATTCTGGAAATAAAGCATCCAAGCATCCAACAGTTCAGGCTACTGACACAGAGGGCTTGGATTGGAATCCAACCTTTTGCACTGGGTGAGCCCTGTCAAGTCAGCACCCTTTGCTTAAGTCTCAGTGTCCTCACGTATAGAAAGGTGAAGACTCTGTGTGCTTGCCAGTGCTGAGGTGAGGATTTAGTGATGCAGACTGAAAGGCACTGGGGCAGGCACAGTGGCCAGCAAGGCGACTGCCAAAAGACAGCAGCTGTTCCTATTAGAGATTCCAAGCCCTGGTGCTGCCCTCCTCTCCCTCCTTAATGCAGGTTCTCAGGCTCCTCACTTAAACATGGGAAGGCGGAGACTCAGGCCTGAATTACTACCTGGAGCCCATACCATGCTTTTGCCACGCCTGCCTGCGCAATTTCTAGAGGCAGTACACTGCCCCTCTGTGCCTCAGGGCCACCGTCTGGCCTGCTCTCTCCCTTAGTCCCAGTCTTCCCAGGCTGCCTCCTCTGAGAACCCGTGGCCTGGGACCCAGGAGTTAAAGAGATAGGAATACTCTGCTTTCCTCTAATTCTCGGGGCACAGGTTGGAGCTGCAGTAGTGAAATTCCAGGCAATGTGTGGAGACCGGCGAAGGCTGGGTCTCTCTTTGACTCAGAAGTCACAACCCCACCCCTCCCCCAATCCCAGAGCCTTCCGTGGGGACCAGTTACAGGGGCAAAGGCAGGGGGATACTCCCCTCCCCTGGGCAGTGCTGGTACAGTGATGGCTACCAAGGATAGGGGTGCTCAATCTGAACCAGGGACCCCCTGGGGCAGTTCCCTGTGGGAGCGGAACTTACCTGGGGATGTGACTATTGTGCAGTTTACCTGGACCAGTCACCCAAGTGAGGTTCTCATCATGGGTAGGGCTAACCAAAGGAGGAGGCTCACCTGTGCTCAGGGCTTAACTGTGGGTGGGACTCATGAATGGTGCATAGTGGGGTCTTTGGGGATTTGTCGTTAGAGGGCAGGAATCTCCGGAAGAGGCGGGCCTGAGGGTAAGTTCACCTGGAGGCTGGATCCTTACAGAGGGCCTTCACTTGGCTCTGAAGTGGAGTGGCAGGATTCATCTGTGGGGCTGGGCTCTCCCGGCATAGCCCAAGGAGAGCAAAGGCTCCCAGGGATGGGTGTACCTGCGAAAAGCTCGCCTAGGGACATGGGCTGACCTGTGAGCAGGGCTTGCAGGTGCTGAAAGCGGCTTTCTCTGTGGAGCGCTCGTGCAGGGGCGTGGCTCCCGCGAGGGGGCGTGGCTTCTGCGGGGAGGGGGCCCTGTCAAGGTGCAGTACTCCCGAGTGGGCAGGGCTCACCTGTGGGCGGGACCACAGCTCACCTGCGGGGGTTGCTCTGCTCTCCCAGCGACTGCTGCGTGGCCCTCAGGTAGCTCTGGCGCCGTGCTGCGGTCTTGGGTGAAGGCTTGGGGCTGCCACCGGACTCGTCGCTGTCCTCATCCCCCATGGCCTTAATATAGCTGCCGCTGCGCATGCGCCGGCATGGGATGGGGCCCTCGGCCGCGGCGTCCGCCTCGCGGGGGGACAGCAGCGCGGTGCTCCACTCTCCACCGCCGCCGGGCACCTGGGGACATCCGAGAGAAGGACTCAGCAAGGGTTGGGGGGCAGCCTGGCCTCAAGCTCGTCATCTGGAAAAGGGGTCCTGCAGGGCTGTTCTTCACCTCGGAGTTGGGCCTCCTGCGCTGGCTTTGCCAGCCTGCATGGGAGCAGAGCCCTGGGCCTGGGTTCCAGAACCGGCTCTGTCATAGCTTCTTAGGCCCTTAGGAGAGGGCCTAAGATTCTGCCCCTCTACAACCTCAGATTTCTCTGGGTTTGTCCCAGCAACACTCTCAGAGGCTCCATAATCACAATGGACCAGGCTTTCTGGGCTCCCACTGTGGCTCATGGCTTCATTTGTGCCATCCCAGAGGATGTCCTATGATCCCACTGCATAGATGGAAAAACAAGGCCCAAGGGAGGTTTGTCACTTGCAGAGGGTCTTTCAGACTAGGAAACAGAGCCTGGTCCTAGGATGGGGGGGTCAAAGGTCCCTGACACATCAGCATGGGTGGGGTCCCAGAGGTATAGAGAGCAGAGGGACAGGACAGTCAGAAGGTCAGCTGGAAAAAGGGCTCAGTTTTCCCATCTGAGCCCTCCACGGAACAGGTTTGTGGTAGACACAAGTGAGATCAAGCTGTGAGGGCAGCCCTGGTCACCCGGTCTCCAGTGTTTATGGTGGCAGGAACAGCTGAGGGACTTCCCCTGCCTTCTGAGGTCTGCCTCTGCCAGCTGCTCTGGGGCAGTGCATACAGTCAACTCCTTGGCCACCTAACTCACACACAGCAGATTGTCATTTAGGAGGAACGCCACCCACATCTCAGCACTTCACACTTCACAACCCGGAGCTGTGTCCTCGCTCTTAGCCCAAGTATGCCTTGTTGCGTTCATGTATCTCAGTACACACAGAGCAGCACACCCTCCCCTCCACGTCCCTCAGCAATTGCTCACAGTGTACCACACACCACCCCAAGGACACACCCCAGTGGCCATCTCATCGTAGGCAGCCCCCAATATGTCCACACCATGTCCACAGCACTCCCCTCAGCACTACACACCCTCCTCGTACTCACATCTGCAACAGCTGCACGTGGACACACGTCTCAACACACACCGAAACACACACAGCAGACATCTTCAGGGCTGCACGCCTCATCATGGGTGCCGGGGCTACCCGTTTCAGTGCACACAGCAAACACACTCTTCATTATGCACACAAATACTCTCCAATCAGCATGCTCACATAGGTTCCACAGCCTTCAGTGCCAGTGGCCACCTCTAGCTAAAGACCCGTCCCTAGGAGCCCCCTTGGCCTTCCCATAACCTCTCAGCTGACTGCCCAGTCTGTCCCTACTTCCTCACTGTCCCTTGGGAGTGGGGCCTTGTGTATCTCTGCACAGAGCCTGTGGCCAACGCACCTGCCCCACCATCCAACAGGCAGGCAGCTCAAGCCCCAGGGCCTTTCCTGGTGTCTCTGAGGCATTTTCACACCAAACTGAGAGGGAACAGGCCGCACTCCCTTCCTAATGTTGAAACTAAGAAAGTGCATTGAGAGCTACAGAAGTTCTAAATATATTTGAAAGGCTGCCTAGATTTCAATTTCCTCCTATTGAAAAAACACAGCCCCCCCATCCCCACCCCCAGTGTCTCACTGTCTGGGTTTTATATAGAATGACAAGGACTCAGGGCTTTGTCACACCTTGAGGTATCTCTCTCAAAATGAATCTAATGTGGCTTCCCAAGGCCACACAGCTTGAAAGTGGCAGAGGCTTGGAGACATTATTCTTGCTGCACAGGGTAGGGGGGACGGGGGTTGTCCTCAAGGGCAGGGCAAATGGCTGCTAATTGGATGGCTAGGCCTGGGGCACAAAGCCCAGGGGGTGGAGCTACATGAAGCAGGTCGCAGGTGGAAGGACTTCTGTAGTGAACACCATATTGCAAGGGCAGCAGTACAGGCACAGGCCTAACTGCACATCGAGTGCCTTATACACCTTAGCACAAGAAAGCTCCACCCCGCCGCAGTGAGCCAGCGTTCCTGGGCTGCTGCTCTGGTGCTGCTCTTGCCACTCTGCCCACTGTCTGTTCCAATGTCCTTCTTTCCTGGTCATCTGTCTTATGTATGTCTAGCTCTGTTCATGTCATTGTCCCATCTATCCATCCACCCCTCCCACATTTCCTGAGCACTTCCTCCATGCCAGACCCTGTCCTGGGCCTTGGGGATACATGGTTGCATCAGATGTGGCCCCTGTCCTCAAGCAGGAGCCAGTCTGATGAGGGAGGCAGGCAGGAGGTTGGCATTAATACCATGTATTGGTCCAGGAGGTGGGGGGGAGGAGTGACAATTTCCAGGTTTGACACATTTTAGTCTCTGCTCAGTACATCAGCTGGGAGCCCACCCAGTGGAAGAGTCCTCTATTAGCAGGACCCACTGGCCACCCATTTCATAGCTGTGCAAACTGAGGCAGAATGAAGCTGCTTCCCAAATGGATCTGTGGTACAGCTGGGCTTCAAAACTGGTGCCACACCTGCCCCTAGCCTTCATCCCACTGAATCTGACAAGACACCCACCTGCAGGTAGTGATAGGCCAGACCCTGGTGGCAGGACTTGGACTTTAGCAGACTCTTATCCAAGGTGGCCGAGGTCTTCTGGCAGACCTCATGAGCGTGGCTGAGTGTCAGAGTGGACCAGGAGCCCCGTTTGACATAGTTGGTATCGGTGCCCACCCCAAGGCTGGGGCAGGTAGCGGGAGGCGCAGGCGGGGGTGGTGGGGCAGTCAGCTCAGTGGTGGTGTTTTTGGTGGCCTTGAGCATGTGCCCACTGATGGTGTTGTATGCATGCATGAAGTAGCGAGGCTGGCTGCGTTCTGCCTGGCGGCCAAGGGTCATCAGCCCGGAGGTTGGGCCACTGCTGCGGAAGGCACCACCCTCGCCGTCCAAGTTGTCATCGGAACTCCACCAGCCTGAGATGTTGGAGCGGCTGCGCCGTTTGGGTTCCCCAGCCTTGGCCCGCTCCTTGCTTTTGGCCCTCCGGCCCTTGCTGTCCTCCATCCCACTCTTCTTGCTGCCATTGCCACCGACCTTGCCTGCTGTGCCCTCCAATGAGGGTGCTTTAGTAAAGAAAAGCCGCTGGACAGAGTGGACCAGGTGGCGGATGCGCCCGGGGCTCTCACCACGCTTGGCCTCGCCTCGGGGGAACTGGAGGGTGCTGAAGCCATCACGGTGGATGGGCAGCTGCTTCTCAAACTGGTCCAGGAGGTTGGCAGGCAGTCGGTTGATCTTGGTGGCCTGGGCATGGCTGGGGAAGGGGCTCTCCTCTGGCACCTCGAAGTGGGAGTTGTAGTGGATGCGGGGGAAGGTGCTGCTGGGCGGTGGTAGCTGGTTGTTCAGAGGGAAGAGCCCATCCCCCGGCAGGGTGTTCTGTCCAGGGAAGCGGGCCTCCCGGGCAAAGGCCTCTGTGGGCGACAGCAGGTAGGGGTTCCGGTCAGGCCCTGCAAATAGGGGCTCGTGTGGCGGGTCCAGACTGTCGGAGAGGTGGCGGGGGCGGCTGTCACCGAGGCCTTTCATGATCCCGGCCCGTGGGGCAGGGGCCGTTGCCCTAGCAAGGTGCCCGGGTCACCTCTCCCAGGCAGCAGCTGTCCTGGGGAGAGAAGAGGGAGAGAGGTCAGTTGGTCCACTGGACTGGGTGCTGGGAAGGACAGATCTTAGGTCTGGGAGGATGCTGTTTTCACTGTGGGGCAAGGGCACAAATGGGGGTCCCTCTCCTCTGGCTAGAAGAAGCTGCAGTGGAGCCAGCCGGCTGTTAGACAACACACGCTCTACCCGCCCAGCCAGATGGAGAGATGTTCACAAAACCCCACAAAATCAGGTTTGAATTCTGAGTTCTTGGTCTCCTCTGAATTCTCAAGCGGTAATGTGGGCTGCTGGTGGGCGTATCCCCTGGTCTCCTGAACCCTCCTTATCTTAGCCCATAAGACAGAGAGGTCTTCCAAAAAAGCAGGACCAGGCAAGGCCCATCTTACCTTCAGCCAAGGGCAGTGCTGTCCAGCTCTTTACTTGAGATTAGGATTGCTGTGTAAACCCTCAGAAAACAGCTGCTCTGTCCCTTACCAAATGTCTAATGAGAACGACCTCTGAGCTGGGTGCTGGGGTCAGTGACATGGCCCACGAACCCAGAGGCTCATGGTTTCCAATGGGGATGAGCAGTGATATCCTGGAACAGAGTTCTCAGAGTGGAGAAAAGAGGCACATCCTTAGAACTGGGGGACAGGGCAGGCCTCACAAAGGGGTAGTGTTTGGGTGGAGTCACTGTTCCTGAATTTCCCCGTATGTAAAATGGGGCAGGCAGTTGAGTAGCTGTTTCCCAGGGTCTTCTATCCAGGACCACCCCAGAAATACCAGTCCTGAACTTAGCCAAGTTTCTTTTCTTTTCTGGGCCTCTTTCTGTCTACCACGGGGTAGAGGGTAAATCTTCGAGGTTTTTAAACTCTTGATCCCACCAGACCTGCAGAGGCTGGCCTGGCCCTGTGTGCTATGGCTCACCAAGCAGTTGGGGGTGTGGGAGGCCCCCTAATTGGTCCATATCTTTGTCAAAAGGAACGCTGCAGATGTGATTAAGACTTGTGAGATGTGGAGATTATCGTGGATTATCTGGGTGGCACAGCGTAATCACTTGGTCCTTGTGAGAGAGTCATGAGGGTCAGTGTCAGAGATGTGACATTGGAAACAGGTGATGCTGGGTCATGAACCATGGAAGGCTGGTGGCCTTTAGAAGCTAAAAGAGGCAGGAGAGGGAGTCTCCCCTAGTACTCAGTACTGCTAGTCTCAGCAGTACTGAGACCCGCTGTAGACTTTGGACCTCCAGAACTGCACAAGGCTCCAGCCATTCGGTCTCCTGTGAGACAGAGTGGCAGACTGGGGAACAGACAGCACAAGGCCACACAGGAAGGCCACACATAGCCTTGGAACCCAGGTCTTTTGACTCTGAACACAGGCCCCAGCCCATCAGCCCTCCTTGACTGGACAATCTGCAAGGGAAGGGGACACTGTTGGGGCAGTGTCTACCAGCCAAGGGCCAGAGGGTGGGGAGGTGGGGGCGTGAAGGCCCTGCCAGCCTCATTCCCTCCTCTTGCTCCCTATCGGGCAGCCAAGCTCACTGCCTCACTAGATGTTCTCATTGCTCTTGGCCTCTGTCGGACTTACTTGTTTACTAGTTCATTGACACTGGATGGTGTAGCAGTAGTTCACACCTTTCTGGAAGGTACCTCCTCCACCACCCCACCAGAGCTGAGCCCAGGATGGCATCTTTCTCCTGACACCTTTACCACTGTTTTGAGCTGGAAGCCCAGCTTATTTATGACTTCCTTAGATTTCAGTGAAAGTCACAGAAAGCTGTGTCCCTATCTGGTATCTCATAGATTTTATTTCTCCAGTTTTTTTTTCTCTTATTTTAATTGAGAAGAAATTTATATAACATAAATTAGCATTCAGAATTGTATAACCATTTTTTTTTTGGTGGTATTGAGTCTTGAACTCAGGCCTCATGCTTGCTAGGAAGGTGCTCTACCACTTCAGTCACTCGGCAAGTCCTGTTTTGTGTTGGGTGTTTTTTGAGATAGAGTCTCTCGAGCTATTGGCCTGGGGCTGGCTTTGAACCTTGATCCTTCTGATCTCTGCCTCCTGAGTAGCTAAGGTTACAGGTGTGAGCCCCAGGAGCATGGCAAGTCTTATTTATTTACTTTTTTTACTTTGTGGTACTGGAGTTTGAACTCAGGGCCTCATGCTTGCTAGGCCACTTGAGCCACTCTGCCAGCCCAACAATCTTGGTACCTTTTAACTCCATCTACTCCTAAAACTTTTTCATGATCCTCAAAAGCAGTAAGCTCCCTATTCCCTCCTTTTTGCAGCCACTAATCTGCCTTCCATCTCTATGGATCTACCTATTTCCCATAAATTTTACTTATTAAAAAATTTTTTTTTTGCTGTAGTGGGGTTTGAACTCAGGTCCTCACATTTGTTAGATAGGTATTCTACCACTTAAGCCACTCTGCCAGCCCTTGTTAAAATTTTTTTAGGATCTTACTATGTTGCCCAGGCTGGGCTCAAACTTGCCATAGATCTTCCTACCTCAGGCTCTGGAATACTCTGGGATTACAGAAGTGTACCACCATGCCTGGCTTCTCTTGTGATTTTGATTGGTGTTTTCGTGATGACTTAATGATGTTGGGCATTCTTTTATGTGCTAATTGGACACTTGTGTATTTTCTTTGGACAAATGTCTATGGAAGTCTTTGCCCATTTTATAACTGGGTTGTTTTGTCATTTTTGTTGTGAGTTTTAGGAGTTCTTTATATATTCTGGATATTAGGCCCTTGTCAGATATATGATGTGCAAATATTTTCTCTCATTCTATCCCTATAGATTTTTGATCATGTTTTTCTCCTTGTCTAGGACTGGCCACTCACTTTCCTGCCTCATTAATGCTGATGGTCCCCCCACCAGCACCCCTAGCCTGCTAGTTCCACAAAGAAACCTGTTCCTATAACCTCCCTGAGGACAGGGGCTGGTTCCTGCTTCTCCACATCCAGGACCAAGGAATCAAAAGCTCTGCAGATGGATGTGCAGTGGGTATTTGGGTCCCCCTGCCCAGAGGCTCTCTGGCTGCAGGCAGTTCACAGCCAAGTTCCCACTAGGCATTGCTCTCAGTCAGAGGGAGCTCCTCACGGGCTACTCTCCCTCCTCAGGGACAGCCTGCATCCAACAACTGGTCAATGTTTGGGTGCCAAGTGTGGCTCCCTTATTCCAATTCCACACCCCTCCAGGATCATCTCAGCTCAGAGCTGATGATTAGCTGAGGCCTTTGCTGTGCCTGCCCTGAGGCTCAACAACCTTCCTCTCCCTAGCCCTGCGTCCTCACCTCTGAGATGTTCCTGGAGACCTCCAGTGTTTCCTGGGGCTCCTCACCTAAGAAGGTTAGAAGTGAATTTTGCTTTTGACCATTGCTTCCTCACTGTGGGGTGCTGGCAGTTTCCTCTTCCCACTTCCTTTTTTTTTTTTTTTTTTTTGTGGTACTGGGATTTTGAATTCAGGGCCTCAAGCTTGCCAAGCAGGCACTCTACCACTTGAGCCACTCTGCCACAAAGGGTATTGTTCGAGAGATCAGGTCTCAAACGATTCGCCCAGGCTGGCTTTGAACCTTGATCCCCCTGATCTCTGCCTCCCGAGTAGCTAAGATTATAGTCATGAGCTAGTAGTGCCTGGCCAAGTCCCCACTTCTTGAGATCTTGACAAGGATCAGTTGTATGTCATATAGAAATCTCCAGCGCTCAGGTGCCATGCTGCCCTCTTCCCCTCTATTGTGCTCCTGGAGACCGGCCAAGGCTTCTAGTATAGGATGCTGCCCAGTGCCATGGGAACCGTTTGTATGCAAGCTGGACCTGGATTCAGATCCTGCTTTTGTTGTCTACTTGATGTGATCTCTGAGCCTAGTTTCCCCTTCTGGGTGGTAGAGGGTTTGAGTGAGAATGGGCCGAATGTCTGGTCACAGTGACCTTGGTGAGGGCTCCTGGCTTCAGCGCACAGTTGTGCAGGAACTTCACTTCAGGGACTTCTGAAAATAGGCAGCCTTGGGCTTGCAGGGGAGCAGCCGGCTGCCTGGCACTGCCTTTGTCAATGAGCTATACTTAGGCCCATCTGGGTGCCCCTAATTACCTCATTAATAGAAGCCTCATTTCCCTCATGGAAACGAGGAGGGAACAGCGGTGCTGCTGCCTCCCGTGCTCTCTGTGCTCCTTGGGGCCCCTGTGTCTGCAGCCGCCACCCACTACCTGCCACACAGTGCAGCCTCCCTGCTTTGCCCTACCTCTTCTTGGAGCCCAAAAGGGCCTTGTGAGCATGGGGGAGCTAATTATTAGTGACAGGGCCACGAACAGAACCCAGAGGGCTCTTCCTGGAGCACAATTCACCTGACTATGTCACTACCCTAACCCAGAACCTTGCGTCATTCTTCCCTCCTCAGTCCGAACTCCTTGGTGTGGCACCAGCACCCACAGTGACCTAACTCCAAGCCACATTTCCCCTGCTCTGCTTCCCTTCCTCATAACTCTTCCTTTTAGTCAACACAGATCCCTTACCACTCCCAGTTTGTATCTTACATATTTGTTGTTCCTATAAAGATTGCATTAGCCAAGGTAAGGAGTCTAAATGAAGGGAGTAGATGGTCCTGCTCAGTGGTGAGCTCTGCCATAAGGGAGAGACAGACATGGGAATGTGAGTTGAGTGATGAAGAAGAAACGAAGTGGGATGGAATAACCAAACGTTCATGGAAGACAAAGCCACCAGCTCAGAGTTCTGAGGGAGAGAGGTGTGGAAGGGCCTTGGTGCTGCCCGGGGAGGGTGAAGATAGAGAGGCAGGACTTTGCTGTTGGTGCATCTCCCTCCCTCCTCCTCCAGCTCTTGCAGGCTTCTCCTCCTCTGCTCTCTCTTCTTTCTACACTCTCTCTCCTGCTGACCTCACCCTGACGCAGGACTTTAAATAACACCCATATCTGACAACTCCTGAACTTATATCTTCCGCCCAGTTTCACCCTTAAGCCCCAGACTCATATCTAACTGCCTCCTTGACA